TTTTACAAACGTTTTAACAACGAACGTTAACTTCAACAATACTTCCTGACTGCAGTTCAATTACTCACTACTTACACACACACAAACACTGTCACGTCACGCCGTGACCATCTTATATATACCAGACCACCCCCCAATCTAGTAAATGCTAGAGCACTCCCGAAGAAACGGGATAGTTCTAGAAACGTGGCGTGACACTAGTCACGTGACCTCGCTGACGCAACAATATTTTTGTGCTTGCTTATAGTTATGGTGAGTATAAGTGCCAGTGAGTACTTATTTTTGTGAATCATAAAGTATTAGTACTTGCAAATGATTAATAATTTCAATAAATTATAGTACAATTAGCACAGAATTCATTCTTGGATAACCTAAAGGGGCATTTCTCTCAACTTCCCCCCCCCCATCATTTGCATGTTTTGCACACTATACTGAGTTGCTTGACCAATCTTTTTTTTTTTTTATTGCTTCCATCACTCTTGAAAGAGAGAGAGAATGGAAAAGTACAAAAATTCACGCTCGTTTTCCTGCGGTTTAACTCACATTATTGTTAGTATTCGTTCCGGTTTGATGCGTTTTTATATCAGATGCATTCAGATTTTAATGCAACGATCGGAAATAGACGGAATATAACGACTGAATTATTGGGGTTATGGGAGGGCTGTACCTACTTACAGAAAGATAAGATGATACCCTTTTCTCACCACCAACTCCAGTCCCAGCGGCATCTAGTCTGCTATGGGAGGGCTGTACCTACTTACAGAAAGATAAGATGATACCCTTATCTCACCTCCAACTCCAGTCCCAGCGGCATCTAGTCTGCTATGGGAGGGCTGTACCTACTTACAGAAAGATAAGATGATACCCTTATCTCACCCCCAACTCCAGTCCCAGCGGCATCTAGTCTGCTATGGGAGGTAGGAGACACTCACTTATTTAGGTGAGGCAGATTCTAGAGAATTCAATTATCTCGTATTTACTATTATTACACGTCACTATACATAAATTACTAAATTATATGATAGCGTGTTATTACGAAATGTTAACACCATTGTGATATGTAAGATTTGTATTTAATTAATGGTATTATTAGAAACCGTTTTAAATAATAAAAATCTGAGTGTATAAGTGACATATTAACATATGTTTAGTTTTAATTGTATTATTCTTTAGTTTTTGATTTATATTTGCCATAAATTTTTTATATCAACGTACAAGCTGAAACTGGGGCAAGGCACAGAATGTGAACTGGACGGGCAAAATCTCTAAGACCTCCCAAAGCATCGATCTTGGCTACTAATGGCCAGGTTGTGACCTCCTAAAGAATTGACCTTGGCCACTAATGGCCAGATTGTGACCTCCCAAAGCATCGACCTTGGCTACTAATGGCCAGGTTGTGACCTCCTAAAGCACTGACCCTTGGCCACTAATGGCCAGATTGTGACCTCCCAAAGTATCGACTTTGGCTACTAATGGCCAGATTGTGACCTCCCAAAGCATCGACCTTGGCCACTAATGGCCAGATTGTGACCTCCCAAAGCATCGACCTTGGCCACTAATGGCCAGATTGTGACCTCCCAAAGCATCGACCTTGGCCACTAATGGCCAGATTGTATATAGTTTACCTTCCAAACCACATATTTAATTTTAATTTTATATTTGTTTGTAATTTCACTTTTCATTACCTAGCGTATATTGGATATAAAAGTACAAGAAGGCTATTTACTCTAATTTGTCAACGATTTGATTTTAAAAACTGATGGTAGAATAAATATCTAACAATAAGCTCTGGTCGGTTTTCATAAAATTAAGGCCTTCCAGTGGCACAGCGGTATGTCTGCGGACTTACACGCTAGAAACCTGGTTTCGATACCTGTGGTGGGCAGAACACAGATAGCCCATTGTGTAGCTTTGTGCTTAATTACAAACAAACAATAAATGTATCCCGCCACCCTAGCTTTTCAAAAACTCCGGATGAAAACCAATGATTTTTGTTTAGTTAGTATAATACTACTAAATTTTTATTCAAACAGTGTTCATGGACTACTGGATCTGCATAATGAATTTCAGAAAAATGAAACTTTTCGACAGTAGTGTCAGCAATCCATAATTTAATACAACGAAAAATAATGAAGACATTTTTTGTTGTT